AGATAAAATTTATATATAAAATAGATATAAGTAAAAGTAAAATTTTTTAATATCCATTTCCTAAAACGAGAACTGACCTGAATACGAGAGCGAGCTAGATACACATTGGACTTCCATTCAGTTTTCATCTTGCGGTACTGAGAGGACTTGGAATGGACGAACTGCTTACTGTAAGGCGCATTCAGCTCTCCCGTTACTGTGCTCTGAAATGACTTCGATGTGCTGGTGCTATTCAAGGTGTGAGGCCTGTAGGAATTGGGCATATAACGGGAAAGAATACAAGAAAAACTGAAGATTTCTCTGAAAACAGCCACAAAACCCATTCAAAATTCTTTTAGACATACAGACACTGAAAGCCAGCTAGCATAGACAACAAAGCAATTCCTTCGATTTGGGCATGCACATACACAGCCAAAGACGACAGGGTTTGTAAGCAGCAGACGAAAGCACAAATAACCCTAAGCAGCCTATAAACCCTGGGCTGTACTATGTGAAATTAAAACAAAATACCTTAACACAAACCTCTTGACATGGGTACTCATTTTAGGCTCGGCACGGGCACAGCCCGTGGGGTTGATAGCAAGAGGGAGTTCCATTAAGGGGTTTCGGCCATAGCGGAAAGTGTAGTTCTCGCAGGCCTCAACCCCTGGCAGCTGCAAAACAAAACAGACAGAAAGAAAAAAAAAAACCAAGTAGTTAGATATTAATCGTGTGTAACGAAATATTTACTTTTCCACACTTCCTCCTGTTCCCCTTCTTATGCGTATAGCCAACAATTTGGGGTAATCCAGCAAGAACTGGGACGGCGAAGACTCACCGATTCGGCAATCCTGGCCACTGCAGAGACTGTCAAACCAAAGAGGTCTTCACCCTTCAAATAGCCGGGAAACAGCTGGAGCATTTCAGACTCTTTTCTAACAGAAGCAACGGGCTCCAAGATTTTATCCCACACACCTACACAACCACATGGGAAAGAATTACAGTGATCAAAAAAATAAAAGTCTATCGTACTGGTTTTCAAACAAAGGCCTGAGGATATCAGGAAGCAGAAACCAATACTGAAAAGGCATTTTGTCTTTGGTTGCATACACAAACAGGCCAGTGTTTAAAAAGCAAAGCAGGGAACCATTTGGTGAGTGGCTGTTTTGTCCTGACCAAATCCCAAACACACGCAACATTTCTACTGCACCCTTGATTCTCAGGAACTGCTCTTAGTATTCTCTTAGTATTCGCAGCATGGAAACTTCAACTCCTCTGAGAGTAACCACACACACAGATTCTCCTGAGAAAACCTGCACGAAGTAGAATTTTTTAAAAATAATCTCTATATTCTGTTTCCATCAATTGATGGCAGTCAGCTCGCAGTTGCATGCGGGCGATTCCGCCAGCAGTGTTTTGCCTGGGCTGAGCGTATCAGCGCCTGCAGCACGAAGCGGTGAAGACCCAGAGTGTTACAGGCCACGTGCACATCCACGCGCCACGTTCCTAAGACCTGCCCCATACACTTACAGTCTACTGTCTCATTCCTCACCCCACCAGAGATGATGTTACCTGCCCCAAGAACAAACGTGGTCAACTCAACTGTCTTTTTATTGCTTACTAACTTCAGCACTGCTGATTTGAAGATAATTGAGTAATGATAACATATTTAAACAAAGTTACTTTTCATGGAAGGAAACCCACGCTGGCATTCCTACTATTTTAATTCATTTTCAATACTCCATCATGGGTCTCCTCTGTGAACTTGTAAGAAGTCTTCTTATCTGCAGCTTATACAATTTCTTCAAAGGTGTCCTCAGTCTTCATAGCATGACATTAAAAATGGGCCCTGGAAACTTGCTATAAGCATTACATTAGAACAGTCTCTGCAACGTGTTATTTCAAACATCCATCATACATCTGGTAAGTATCACTAGCCACAAAACAAACAGCAAACCCACAAAAGTCATGACCTTGGTTCATAAAATTTACCTTTTGGTGTTGTGTCAGTAAGGACCAGATCTTCGTGGCCTTGCTCCACAACCTTGATGACAAACAACGGAAGCCCGTCCTTCTCCTCAATTGAACAGAGATAGCGACAGCGTCTGTTTGCGTATCTCATGCTCCAGTACAACCGGCTGGCCTCGTAACCCACGGGGAAGAGTGCTTTTGAGGAGTGGAAGGCCTGCATCTGCTGTGGCAGCAGCTGACCAACAGCATGGAAAATCAGGCTGCCCACACGGAAGGTGTGGTCACGTTCTCCTCGCTGAACGATGCTAGCGATCTGCCGCACTTCATCACGCTGAACGTAGACCCTCCTGAAGACTGCAAAGTAACTAAGTTCTTGCTCATGAGTTCCCTTTGGTTTGTGCATGGGGCAAAGCATGGTCTTGTCTTTAAAAAACATGCATTGTGCTTTAATGGCACAGGTAAAGTGATAAATATTGGTGCACCTTAACCTGTGACAACCGCTGGTGGCACCCATTTTGTGACAAAACATGCATTTCATTTGCAAGCCTCTTCGCAGTGCTAGTTCCACGTTTATTAAGGCACCAGCTTGTGTCTCGTAGACTTCTGTAGACCAAAGAGCACAGTTCAAATGGACCCAAAGGTCTAAATCCAGGTTAAGAAGCCTTGCTGGTCCATCAGTTAATCCATCACCCTCCTCGTGACAGAAGCAACATTTCCTATAGTCTTTAGGCACGGGATCTGGTTTAAGGGTTGTGCCCAGTTTTTTAAGGAATTCATCTATTTCTTCTTCACAAGGAGGTTTGAATGATCCTTTAGGAATCACAATCTGAATGCTCCACTTTTTCCATTTCATTCCTTTCCATTTCTTACTTGGAGGCCGACAGTCATCAAGACTACTGTGTATTGCTTTTAACCTAGGTTTTAGTTTCACTGTTACCTTAAGCTCATCCGGTTTTGCCTCTACCTTGGCTGCTTCAAATGCAGGGGGGAACATGATGGGGGGTGACGATGGTGGAGAAACTTTTTCCTGCAACTGAGGCAGACAGTGGACGTCCAAAGTGGAGATGTTGTTGCTGTACTGATGGAATGCTTTGGGCGGCCTCTCTTTCATCGGCGACTGTGGCAAAGACGGAACTGATTCCTGCTAAATCAACAGAAAACTCTTATGAAAAAAATCCCAAAGTGTTAACCATTAAATGTATCTTGAAAACTCTGTCAGGTCAGTATGGAAGAGGCTACTGCGAATGCCTAAAATCAGGATGCAGCAATAGAGAAAGATGGAAACTACCCTGACCCACGCTATCACAGCTTGCGTCGGGATAGGGAGCACAAAAGTTCTCCCAGTCAGCCTAGAACGTGCTGCACTTTAATACAGAAGAGGAAGCACAAACGATCCTCTGTCCACGTTTTGAATGAAAAACTACTCAACTGCCCTAGACGAGCTAAGTGACAGCTTTAGTTCTTAGGCATTTTTACAAAGTTTTGTTACAACACAAAATAACCTTAAAATACGGGTCACAGTATTAATTTAAAGAGTAAGAATCTTGTTATTTGGTAGAAGGGGAAGATTTCAAATTAATGCCACATGTTTTTCTTGGAAACAAGTGAGGAAGAAATTCCTGCAGGGCTCTAGATTAGATACACCTTGAGGACTTAACTATTGAGCCACAGTAAACAAGAATTATACCTGCAGAGATTTGTTTAAAAAAAAACCAAAGGAGAGAAAACAAGAACAAAGGAAGTGTAGATTAAAAAGTGCTTAATGTGGTTTGTATGATTAATCTTGAAAGAGTAAATGAGAGGATCAAGAGGCTGAACATGACATTTAATTAACTTAATTATGTACATGCTGATGCACTTGTGCAGAAATGTTACCCTCTTTAAATGCTAGTGAAAATGAGCTACGTAGGACACTAAAAGGATGTGGATGTACACACATTTATCTTCTCCTCCAGGTTTGGGTTTTTTGTTTTTTTTTTTTTTTGTTTTTTTTTTTGTGGCGGAGGTTTTTGGTGTTTTTTTTTTTTAATTTCTTCAGAAAAAAGTAAGTAGGATGCATTTGAAGGAAGGCTGCAAATTCTACAGTAAATACAGGACTATGAGAAAGCATTAATTAGGTAACAGTTTAGGGGGGAAAAAAAAAGGTACATTTGAACTAGAAAAAGTAGAAACCAAGCTAGTTAAAAGAAGTACTTCAGAAAATTTTATCTATGAGAAAATAAACTTAGCAGGATCATTTAGTCTTGAATGAAGACCTTCCACTTCTAATGAGTAAACAAACAGAGATAAATTTAAGTTATCATCCTTTGAAACAGAACGAACCTGGACATAGCAAAGAAATAACGCCCCACGTGGAAGCGCCAAGTTTCTCTAAGGTGTCATATACCCCTCGCAGTGTCTGTAGGTGGAGAACTACAGCATACTCTTCGGGACCACCTAGGAAAAATCCCTGGCTCCATTCCACCTTCAGTTGAACAAATCTCTTAAAATGTCTTTCTCCAGTAATCAGAACCTCTTTTTCCTCGTCACTGTCAGTCAGCAGGCTCTTTACTCATGTTCTGGTAATTAATGCTTTAAAATGGCAGCTTTGTCCAAGTAAAGTAACGGAATAGGATTGTATTTTTCCAGTTACATTGAACAAATGAAAGTCTGTTTGCAAACTTGTTCAGTTATTATTTGCACAGTTGTCATTTTTTTTTTTTTTTACTGTGTAAGTCAAATCAAAGTGCAGAATATAGCCCTTAAAGATCTATCTATGGTTTTGTACAATGTCCAGAGAACTTAAATGACTACTTTTTTGAGACTGCATCTTCAAAGCCTGTGAGGACAGCAAAAGGTAGCTACTGTTCTGCCATGCATCTCTGTCAGACAGGAAGTTCTGCAAATACAAATTTTACTTCATGCTGCTGGTTCAGAATCTCAACGTCTGAATACAGAGCAGTTCATTTATAAACCTCTAAAATGAAGTGCAAACTTCCCCCTCGCCCTCCTTCTGTTCTTCAAAAAATAGCTGCGATAATTTTAGGACAAGAGGAAATGGGCTCAAGCTGCGCCAGGGGAGGTTTAGGTTGGATATTAGGAAAAATTTCTTCACGGAAAGGGTAGTCAAGCATTGGAACAGGCTGCCCAGAGAGGTGGTGGAGTCACCATCCCTGGAAGTGTTCAAAAAATGGGTAGACGTGGCACTTGGGGACATGGTTTAGTCTAGTCTACCCTTAACTGGTTTAGTGTAGACTTGGTAATGTTAGGTTAATGGTTGGACTGGATGATCTTAAAGGTCTTTTCCAACCTAAACGATTCTATGATTCTAATTTCTGCTCACTAGGGTCTACCAGCATTTGATACTTACTTTGTTCTCCGAGTTTTTTGCTTGCACAGCTGCTGAGTAAAGAACAAAGCAGTTGTTGCTACAGAATACGATGTCCTTCATTTTATCAGAGCCTTCTTGAGAATCCTGGGAATCAAACACAGAAGATTATCAGAAGTGCATTTTAATACCATTCTTCACATAATAAGTGTAATGAAACAAGTATTCCTATCTGGCTAGAAACTCTTTATTTGTAGAACATTTGCAAACTAATGAGCAGTACTGTGATATAAATACTTGATTATTTGACAGATCTAACGTTACCACCACCTACAACCTTGTTCCTCAGCATTTCTTGCCTTTAACAGAAGTTTAACAATCAAAATAAAGCATTCTATACCATGCACCCATCTGCTCCATAGGCACACTTGCAAAGTAAAATCCGTTTTCTTTTATCTTTAGATGGCAAACGAATGTCTCATTTCAGCCTAATCAAAAACAGATCATACTGTTTTATCTACTGATCCATCTGCAAAACATTACTGGGAATTCGGTGCTTTTCTGACTACATGAACCCATTACTTTTGTACATAAGTTTTGGCTATATACCTTTGTCGCATAATTATCTCAATCTCATTGAAAGAGCACTGGTACTTTTTGAATGAATGACAGTTCCCAATGTAAATACAAGAGACTGAGACTGAAATCTGATTCCTGCTCAAAAAGTGTACAAGTATTCTTGCTCTTACAATACTTGCTGATGCAGCAATACGGTGCTGCCTTACAAATAAGCTCTTTTTGAATAAAGGTCCCTGAAGTGGTCATAGAAGGAGGTTAGCAGCAGATTTAGGAAGCTGCCGAATACGGGACCTATTTTATGAAATTTACTGAAATTCATTCCATATAAGTAACGACTTTGACATTTCTTATCTGTACTACAAATGTGCGTGAATGCCCCATCCTGAATCAGGACACACATAGAAGGGAGACTACAAAGAAACCTGGAAGAGGTATCGGTTGGCATGAGAAGCAGTAGTCTTTGCTGCCTTCGTTTGCTCATTCACCATTACATGCAAGAAACTATACGTCCCCTGCAGTACCTGTTTAAGGAAAGGCAGGTCTTTGAAGGACTTCCGCACACCACTACCAAGAACCACAACTTTGCAATGAGAGCACCACCGAGGTCTCAATGCTGAGCCTTCTGCAATATTCTGACTGTGATCCTTATAGCCAGCTATACCTAGAAAACAGGTAAGTCTGTTAGAAGCTGTATCAGATTAAACCAAATTTATTGAGAAGTCACAGATTTCTTCAGTGGTCTAGAGGTAGCATCCTCCTGGATAGGGCATGGAAGACAAGCTTTAACTACGTCCTGATGGGGAAATTGTTTAAACTAGACCAAAGGGTCTGGAGCACAAGTCTTATAAGCAGCAGCTGAGGGAACGGGGGTTGTTTAGCCTGGACAAAAGGAGGCTGAGGGGAGACCTTATCACTTTCCACAACTACGTGAAAGAAGGTTGTAGCAAGGTGGGTGTCAGTCTCTACTCCCAAGTAACAAGTGATAGGACAAGAGGAAATGGCCTCAAGTTGCACCAGGGGAGGTTTAGATTGGGTATTAGGAACAAGTCCGTCACCAAAAGGGTTGGCAAGCACTGGAACAGGCTGCCCAGGGAAGTGGTGGAGTCCCCCTCCCTGGAGGGATTTAAAAGATGTGTGGATGTGGTGCTTAGGGACATGGTTTAGTGGTGGACTTGGCAGTGCTAGGTTAACTGTTGGACTTGGTGATCTTAAAGGTCTTTTCCCACCTAAACAATTGTATGATTCTATAAAACCAACTGTGCGAAGAACAAGGCAAAAATACATTCTTGTACAAGAAATTAATAACTAAATCAACAAAGGAATACATGCTTAAACAACTATGTCAAGTTTTCCAGCATAGGAACAATCTTTCTGAATCATGGACTTAAAATCAGACTGGACAAAGAAACCCTAATAATGGTGGGAACTACTGGAAGATATACCTCACTGACAGTGATGTACATAACACAAGGGAAATCAGAGATGGATCAGACCTATTAGGTTATGGTTAACATCAGGAGCAGGTCCACATGTACTGATCACGTTAAGAGGAAAAAAGTATTATTTAGAGCAAGAACCAATTCTTTAATTCTAGAGCATGAATTTATGAGGCTGAAATGCATTAATACCGACTCAGTTAAAATTTTGGTACTGAAAACTTTGAAGAATTAATGCCCACTCACCATTGCTGTTTGCAGGAAATGGCACATTAGGTTGCTTCAGTCCGTAAGACCCTACGATCCTGGCAGGTCCCATGGATCCTGCCTGAGGACCCTGAAGTAGTAAGTGTTGCCTGTACTCCACAGATGGGTTCACTCTGTGACTGTTGGCGGTTGCCATGGAGGATGGGACATCTGGAGCGTTACTAACCTCGTAACTGTTGGGAATTCTGACGTGGAGCAGGTTGGAGAATGCCGCTACAACGCTACTGATGTTCTAAAAATAGTAATAAAAACATACCTTCATACCTTTGTTTTCATCAGACAGGCAATTAAGATAGCAGTAATATAAATTATTAGAAGATTGCAACAGCTCTTTATTGTACTATGCTGTAAGCCCTTCAGATTCACTATATATAAAATATATTAACTGCTGTTGTACTTCATATATGTAATACAATCTTCTTTCTTTTACCTCAGCAGCTGTAGGATGTAAAGTAATTGCTACAGATATAAGGCCAGATTTAGGACCATTCTGGGATGGTCCAAGCTGAGAAGCAAAGAAGCCAGAACCAGGTAACGCTCCTGAACCGGGTTCCGATTTTATGTAATTCCTTTTGGCTTCTGAACCTGAAAGTAAAACAAAATACACCAGGTTAATCCTACACACATGTGAATGCAAAACAAAAAAAAAAGCCTAGTTCTAACTGTTCTTTCTGCCATGGTCTCACCTTTTCCAGTACTGCTAGGTAGGATGGGAATGATGGGAGATGGTACAGGTTCCGGGTTTTCCTCCTTTACAACCGACAAGTCTGGATACCTACTAATTTCCATTCCCACCACGCTTTCAGGAGAGGAAGAAGGAACAAAGCTGTCAGGAGTGTCCCTGTCCTCACAGTGATCTTGAACCCTGGAACAAAACCCAGAAAAGCTGTTTTTGAAACAGTGTAAAAACTTTTGGTAAGCTGAAGTTATAAATCATGACAGGGAGCTACAATGAACTTGTTTCTTGCTACTAGTCATGGAACACAATTATGTGGTAGGCCATTAGTTCTGGATATCCCATACTCCACTGCACATGGTGCTTTCTTGGGAAAGACACATAAAGAAAAACAGAGGCACTAACAAAGTCCAGGCTCCATCACAGAACTGTCTGTTCCCCATGGCTCCATCTACCTGGGTAAAAAATTAGTATTTAATATTTAAACTTTCTGGTTTAAGTGTATTCACTGGTCCACCCCCCCTTGTCCATCCACAGGCTTCAGTGCTTCAAAGACACCCAACTTTTGGTTAGGCAAGTGAAAGGGAGGCAAAAGGGAACATCTTTGTAGGGAGACTTGGGTTCTAGCAAGCATTTCTCACATGGTAACAGAAACTGAGTAGAGCTGGGGAGTTTTCAGGCTTACTCTTGCACAGCACTGCTGTCTGGTACAGCAGTCATGGTGCAACAGTACCATGCTGCTCTAGGAAAAACAGCAATTTGTATAGCTTTCTTCCACTTTTAAGAGAGCAAGGTAATAAATTCTTAACATTTTAACAGAATCTAGAGTCTAGCAATGGCAGAAGTCACCTATTTCACTATGCTGCTCTCTACACACGGAATGCCAAGAGTTAACCAGGACAAACAATCCCATCACGTTCTCTGCACTGTGTGCTGTGTACAATGGATTTCGTTTCTTCACACCTTCACAGTCTCATCTCCTACTAAAAGATCACAGAATCTGCTCCAAATATGTTTTTGAAGATATCAAGGAAAACCTACCTTAACTCCTCCTGATTGTTGTGAGGTGGTGTTGGAAGTGAAGCAGGAACATCCACAGTTTTAGGGCCCTGAGCCATTGCTCTTGCTAATAAATCATCTTGTGGTCTGAAAGGCAACTGGAACGGCTTTGGTCCCAGAGCTTTGGTAACTAAAACCAGAAACACACAGCACAATGAGACATCTGTATAGCTCTGCCATTGATACGCATTCTGTGTAGCGGGGTATTGGTGGCTCCCTGATACAACCAAAGCAGCAGATAGTAACACCACTCTCATCCACTTGTAGTTCAAAAATTTTTGACTATTCATGATTAATCTCCATATTTACAAAAACCTGCAAATTTTGAGCAAAAAAGGGCTCGAAAGGCTGTTGAGTGTGCCTTCTGCCAGTATGAGAGGATTTTTGTTTTGTTAACAACAACAAAATCAACACCTTTGTAACAACAAAGGAAAAAGGGGTGGGGAAAAAAGGATTTTAATCACTGAACAGTCCTTATGAAGAGGCAGGATAAAGTTGTACGTAACAGAAAGCAATTTTAATTGACCAAATTACAAGCATCAGAAAATACATACCGACTACACACAAAGCCTGCTGAGGATACATTTTGGGAAGACTGCTTTTAAGCTCACTCAACTAACTGGTTAGTCATTTGTACTGGATATAAAAAAAATTATTTTAAGGTTTTCGTTTTCATTTTTTAAGAGTGCTTCTAGCTCTCAATACGTTTTCAAAAGGGAATAGAGAAAAGGCTATTATTTGACATTATACTGGTGTAAAAAAAAGCTGGATAAGAATGAATACAACCTTAAAGAGTCTAGGCATATTGGTTTTATAACAGAAGACTATAGCAACAGAAAAGCATCCCAGTTACCTACTTTGTAATTTGCTACAAATTTGACTCAATGTATTATGGAAACAATATGTATTAGTCTTACCATCATGACCTCCTAACATACCAGCCTTGCCAGCAAGTTCCTCAGTGGTTGCAAAGCCATTTACCAACTTCTGGCAGGCCACCGGAGGTGGTGTGGGAGGAAGAGAGGCTGGGGGCGTCGGAGGATTGCTCAGGTTGTTCTGCTGCATGAGATTAAAGAACCGTAAATCAGCCACGGAACACAGGGTGAAAACTTGCCTTGTTCTAGTACTAGATAACGTAACCCACTCACATATTTTTACACCCAGAGGTAGAGCTGATAAGCGGTGATAGTTAATTCTCAAGTATGGGACCAAATACAGAAAAGCATCTACTGTAAAAGACACGATGCTTTGCTTTTCTTATATCAATGATATTATCAGAGAAATAGTTTACATGCGTATACATTACTGAAAGAAGATAAAGTTAAATTATTGACAGAAAAGCACAAAGAACATCTTTAGGAACAGTCTGGGAGTCCCAACAAGTTCCTATAGTTTAAGCAAAGGTCTGAACTTAAGATTGAGAGCTATTCCACAGTGACTCTCCACCACCATAAATAAGTCAGCTTACCCGATTTTCACTAGAAGGGAAGCTACCTCACATTTAGCACAGGATGAGCTTTCACTGAAGCAGTTACCATGGAGAAGCAGATACTCTGTAAGTTCAGACCCCACGCTACTTCTCGCTAGCTTAATTAACTACCCATATTTTAAACAAAAATTAAACGAGAACTTCAGTATCTATTCTTGTTGCAGTCATGCCCACAAAGCTAATACTTATTATTCACTTTTGACCACAGCAACTATTTCTGCTAGGTCACATCCTCAGCTTACGTGCCACGTAAGGCTGGAGTAAACACCACTGTTTTTTAATAAGTTACTGAAGTTTTTATATTAGGGTAGCCAAGCAGCAAATTTGATTCTGTCTGTTCACTGTCTTGCTGCTCTCCTAGTATTGCCACTCTGATCTGAGAGACTGAGTTTTAAATTCTGTGGGTTATCAGCTCGTCAAAAGCCTATTTCGTTCAGAGTTCTCAGGTTCTTAGTTAGGGCTTAGTGGACAAATGAGGAAAGCCTACTTCCCGCTTAATTCACATTAAGAAATGCTTTAATGCTTTCACAGACTTTGCAAAGTACTGAGAATTCAGCCTTTTCTGCTCCATAAAACTGTAATTACAATTTTGGCTATTTAGCATCCATTTGTAAAAGTAATACTTGTAGTTTTTAATTAGTTTACAACACAGTTTCCAGAACCGATTTCCACTTTCAGAGAATGAAACAGTGGTGACTGTTTCACCACTGCACCATCTATCTAGTCTAGCAACAGAAAGTTATTTTCTTCTGGTTGCATAAAAGGCAGGAACTCCAGCCAACTAGTAGTAATAATGTCGTGAACTTCTTTTCCCACAGAAAGCACAAAATCCAGATTAAAACCGTACCTTGTAAATGAGCTGGGAGTAGTAGTCTGAAGCCCCATCAAGAGTGGCACTACCAAAACTTCCCACAAGTCGATTTCCACCATTTAGCTGGCCACTGCCATAGGGAAGAAAGTGTGCAAAGCTCACTCCAATTATTGGTTCCATCAAAGGCAGAAGAGAAAGCTGCTACATTAAAAGAAAAGAACGGTTAGAAATTAATTTAACTATAACTTAGAAGCCTCGCAAATCTCCAAACATCAGTAGAGTGGTTTCTAATTTAAAAAAAAAAAAGAAAAAAAGAAAAAAAAATTGGAATTTACCTACTATCAGAATAACTGTGTCAAACCACAGGCCTCTCTGTTTGTTAAGGAAGATGGTCCCCTGCCCATTGGAGCCACAGCTCCGTCTCCCTGCCAGTTCAGCTACAGAGGCTGCCAGACCTGACAGGAACTCCATGGCTTTGAGACTACCAAATGCCTGCCATGTCAGTAGATATTCCAAATTGAAATAAAACCACAACTTTAGATACCCTTGTTTTGTGAAGTTTTCATTTTCTCTACCCTGTATTCAAAATTCAACTTAATGATCAACTTCATTTCCATCATGAGAAGTCCACTCTTTCAAGTGTCCTCTTGACTCATTACCCAGCAGCTGTATACTTACCTGTTTTAACTGGATGAATGTATCAGCGTTAGGGTAAATAGCTTGCTTTTCTTCTTCCTCTTTTTTTCTTTTCTTGGACCGAGGAGCTGCCTTCTCTCCTGTCCTCTGAGTTCGCTTATTTCTCTGTTTTTTGGTTTCAGGTCCTACATCTGTTCTCTGAAGCTGGCTGTTACTACACCCAAATGCACCTTGCATCTGGTTTCCTGCAGTTTGCTGGTATAAAAAAAGGAAAGCGAGGCAGAATTTTTGACATTTTGATATACAGTTCATTCAAATTTACTGCACAATAGTCTAAGAGAACACACACAGTATAATAAATCTCATTGATAACAAACTGTATTTTATGGTTTACTTTGCTGTCTCAATGGTTAACTGTCACTGCCGTACAGTCCCTACACACAGAATTATGACTTATCATTAACACCACTGACATCTGAAAACATCATTAAAAACATTTTCTTTCAAATACCCCCTAAAATAAAGTTACATGTGCATGCAACCTTAGAGATTTTCACGAGGGCATAATGAAAGCCAGACTTGGTTACAGAAAAAAGGCGTGTAAGTTAATATACTACAGATATATTTTCAGGTTAGAAACAAAAACAGTATTGTGAAACACTTCTGGATTGTCCCATTTGCTTAAATACCTTCAGTACGAATTTGCAAAGCCATTCTTCACATAAAAGGGTAGTTGCATAGAAGCAATCAGAGTGGGACTGATAATGCAACAGAGTGGCAAGCCAAAAGAAAGTCCAATTTCTTTTTATCAATTATTATTTTAAACAGCTCTACACGACCCTTATCACAAGGACTCTCACCACTATTCCTGTCATATATGTTTTAACTATGAATCTGTAACACTTAGGTAAGTTACCTGCTGCTCACAATTACCTTTATATTTAATCAGTCCTTATTCATTCTGAATTTGTTTCAAGGATGTATTTAGAGTTTAGGCAGTCATAAACCAAAACTGAGTAGAAATTAAAGATTACAATAAAACGACCAACAAATCTAAGTGTAAAGTGTATCCCACCTCCACAGACAGCAATTTTCTTTAGGTCTGTTTTTAAGAACCTTATAAATTACTAAACCATATAATGCCATTAATATAAAGAATTAATGCTCCCTTCCATTAAAGTAAAATTAATTAAGAGAAATATTCTGTAACACAGAAATCCAGCAATTTTAGGAGCTTTAACAATTTCACACTTTTGATAAAAATCCTAGAGCACAGTCTCTACTACCATTGGAGACAATATGTGATTTTCACAGGCAAAAAATGACCATGGACTTGGTTCATTCGCAGAACATTCCAAGTGGTGCAGCTGCAGGGGTGTGAAGCCCAGCCCTCTGCAAAGGCGCACAGGTCATCCTATACGTGACTAAGGTGGAGTCACAGAAGCAAGCAGCATACAGACACACCGTACACTGTACAGAAACATACTAGTAGGTAATTAAGAGTCATACTGTAAAATCTTGCCTTAATCTTGGTAAATATTAGGAAGTGGCGTTTTTTAAGACGATATCTACAGAAAAATGATTTTTTGCACTTTAATAATTTCTGAATACAGTGTTCTACGAAGTCATATTAAAACTTGTCCTTTTTGTAACACAGATAATTTACTCATGGAGAAAAGGCAGGAAGGGAGGTAAAAATTCCTTCAAGCTGTTTATTCCACCCTTGCGCGGGTAGGGTACCTCCCCACCTTTTCACAAATGCCCGCGGTAAAGGCACAAACTAGCTAGATTGTTGATGACCGCTGTGTAACAAAACCAGTAACAGGCTCACCATTCCTTCAGCTGGATTCTGCTTCTCTGTTAACTTCTTATCCCCAGAAGCCTCCTCTTCTGTTCGGCCACTGCTCTCCGATTTCTGATTTAGAAGAGATGAGGACTTCTTATTTTTAAGCAGGTGTTTCAGCAATTCGTTCCCTGACTCCCCTTTCGCTGCTGGAACGCTAGCTGGTTGTGCTGGACTCTGAGCTGAAGAGGCAGGCTGTGATGTGACCTTATCTTCTTCCACCTTAATACTGCTTGGATTTTCTGGTTTAGGCTCAGCTTGACCCGAGCATTGATCAGTTTCTGCCTTTTCTAGTTTAACTTCTTGAATGCTGCTAGGTGTATCTGCTTTAGCCTTTTCAGTCTCTGTATTTACACTCGGCTGTTTCTGTGGCAGACTGCTGTTGGGGAGCTTACATTCCAGCTCTGGAGAGGTCTGGCCCTCTCCTGCGTTTGATGTTGATGGGCCCGTTAACTCCACTGACTCTTGTTCATCTTGATGACGGGAAAGTTCATTGGGGGTGTTAACTGTGGGGGTGGAGGTAGAATCAGAAATGGTTGGAGTTGATGGTGCAGTTATATCTGAATGTGGAGTTGAAGGGGCTTTTATTGACTCGGCATCATCGTCCTTTTTCTTTTTTCGTGTCCTTTTCTTTTTTCCTTTCTCTTCTGGGATTATGTCAGAATACAGCTGTATGAGAGACTGGCTTGATCCAGGGAAGTTTGCTGCCTGGGGCACACTAGTGTCCGAACCACATGGGGCACCGCTACCGAGTACTGTAGCTGAAGGTACAGCAGAGGCAAACGGAGGCCTGACTTGGTTCTGTGTAAAGGTGGCCCCAGGGAGATTCCCGTGAGTTTGTTTTACATTATGGAAATTAGGGGCTCCACCTGGAACAGCAGATGCATCAGGTCCAAAGGTTGTAGGTCCCACTGGCCTTCGCTCACTGCTTTGCATAAAATTTGTGGCAGGAGGCGAGGTCACAGGACCTTGTTGCAGAATTTGCCCCATTTGTTGCTGTTGATGCTGTGGAGACTGCTGAAGAGGTCGCGGAGTTTGTATGAAATCACAAGGTAGATCAGAATTAAAGAAAGGTATCTGAGACACGGATGTTTTGTTATTTAATTCAGAACCTATCATACCGTGCTGTTCTAGTTCCATTCTCTGCTGCAAAGCCCTCTGTCGATCTACCTCCTGCATAAGCTGAATGCGTTGCCGTTCCTGTTGCTCTCGTAAACGCTCCTTTCTTTCCCGCTCTTGAAAACTTTCGCTAAAAGGGTTATTGTCCTCAAACTCCACCCTTGGCGGTGGCCCTGACTGTGCAGTTGCATTTGGACCAGGCACAGGAGCTGGTGTACCAGGAGTAATTGGCAACAGTGTCATTGGAGGCTGCACCCTTGCTGGATTCATGGAAATATGGCTTGCAGGGGCATTAGCAGATTGCCATCCAGATAAATTTGGCATTCTGGTTGGGTTGGATTGCCCAGGGATTACCACTGTATGTTGCTGATGCTGGAGCTGTTGTGCCACCATGGGGAAGTTTTGCTGATTCATTGCTGGTGATGTTCCTCCTGGAACCATTGGTGGTTGAGCCTGGACGCCTGGCATTATAGCATGAGGTGCCATTCCACACTGCTGCTGCTGCTGCTGCTGCTGCTGCTTGATTCGATACTCCTCAATTAGTTCTGCATGCTCTTTCTGCTGCTTTCGAATCTAAAAATTAAAAAAGTCATTATTCATCTCTGACATGTACCGACTATGTAAGTAGCATAAAACATGTAACTCACCATTATAATTTCAGTAGACAATGAACCTCAGGCAAAACCAGCATTTCTGCACAGTCTTACGTTCTCTCCCTTTTTAAGGCTAAATAGCCATTATTTCTTTAAAAATACTATCCATCCCAAAATTTTAGAAAAAAATAACAGTGCCTCAAAGCTCTAATTACACACCAAGACTGCACTGTGCTAGAGAATATACAAACCTAAACCAAAAGTGATCCTTGTCCTACAGATCTTGTCATCCACGCACAGGAAAACAACAGTTGGGAACAGACAGGAAAAAGGAAACAGTGGGATGGATGATCTTCACACATCAGCAAAAATTTTTAAAAGATGTAATTGAAAAGGAAGTTTGCAGGGAAACAGCGAGATCGTTTCCCATTTATTCAAACATCACACAGCAGACAAAAATGGCAACTGCTGCTTGAAAATTTTAAAATTTAGGATGAAAATAAACTCAACTTGGACACTAGAAGTTAAGCCTAGTAGTTTATTTCTAAGGCAAGCAGAGGAAGCCAATAGAAGGATGTGACAGAATCAGCCAGACAAGAAAGAGCATTTCAGAAAACACAACAGATACCTAATTACACTGCCCTCTGAAAAAATAAAAGGACTTGTAATCCGCTGGTTAATAATACATACATTACAGAAAATCTCTCTCTCACTTCTATTCATTAGATTATGACTTCCACAATTTCCATTTGCTGTTTGTACTGATAGAAAAAGCCCATAACATAATTAAAAATGTTTGATAATGCTCTCCTTTACCTGGGGCAAGGGACTAGCCAGAAAGCTCAGGATAACAGAGATATTACAGGACACACTCCAGAACACAGGACAGATGCACCCAAAAGGCTATTTACACAGTAATCTCAGGTCCAAGATGATTTATGAGCTCTGGCTTGGCACTGACACCGCCAGATAAACAGTGCCACTGCACAAAGCCACCAACGCGATCATTGCACAGCCCAGTGCTCCAGGACTTCTCCGCGGGTATGGAGCGCTAAACCTGTGTTGGCTCTGTATGCCGGTGCAATGAGGCACCCAAACCACGACACCCTCCCAGGACCTGCAGTGGCGGATCGGCCACGTGACTGTACTTGGAATTAGCTGAGATCTCAAAGGACCAGCACTGACTACACCCAGCTGGACCTGAGCCGACCGGCGCAGCTCGACCTGGCTATTTTCGCAGTGTGGGGGAGAAGGCAGAGCATATTAGCACAGGCACAGTGCCACACCAAAGCAGTTAAACCGCCCTGACCACAGAGACAATATGGCAGTGTCTGCATGGCTCTGCGCCTGAGCTAATAACCCTGTCAGACATAAGCTCGTGTTGCACAAAGTCAGCTCCGGTTTCTCTGCGCCTGTGTCCAGGACCAGCAATTCACAGGGATTTGAGAGCTGTTTTCTCTCTATATATACACATATATAGACTTTGCCCTTTTCAAAAACTAACAGAAGCTTGATTACAGAAAAATTATTTGACCTGATTTTAAAAAGTGGTGAATTGCTTCAAATAGAAGGTCCTTAAAAATATACTTTAATAAAACCTTATTTAAGCTCCTACTAGGTATGTAACAAAGTGCTGTTTCAGATGTGGATGACTGGTTTAAATCAGTGGTTGAAGGGGAGTGGAGGGCATTTACCAGCAGTATATGAAACTTAAGTTTAAAAATGAAAAGAACCTTAATTATGGGGCACTACATGCATCTGCCAGCAATGTCATGATTAGCAGCTGTTACTTCAACATAACTCCACCGTAAGACTAGACTGACACATGTATGATGAAGATTGGTTAAAGTGAACTTTTTTTGCATTCTACTTGTGATTCATTGTAGAAGTGAAGAAAAGAAAAAGGAAGAAATGATGTAGACATAATTCATCTGCTCCATCCCTCTTCCACACAGTGAAAAGACAAGCCAACTAATATTCCATCCGCTGTATACTTTGTCTTGAAGCAACACAGGAGCAAGAACTTGATGGTCAGATATCATCTAGGACTTCATTCCAAGCAGCCTGCTGCCAATTTTTTCCCTCATATTAATAAAGGATAATTCTAAAGCATTTTCACATTCAGCAGGTCTCACTGATCCTGACAATCATACCAGATAACTTAGAAAAAATGTCTTGAGGAACACAGCATTTAATACTGTTGGCCAAAGCATAGACTTATCAAAGCTATCACAGGTTTAACTTTAATCTCACTTACTATAATCACAGTTACAAGATGTAGCAAGTGAAATTTCAACAGAATATAAAGAAAGAAAAACAGGGGCCCATACAGGCTGGGAAATTTCTACCCTTAGAGACTTACAAAACTTGACTGACAAGGCGCTGAGCAACCTGATTTAACTGTGAAACTATTTCTGCTTTGATCAGTGGACTAGATGATCTCCAGATATCCCTTTGACCTCTATTATTCCATGATACAGTAACAGATGACACACACTGATGATCAGCATCTAGGAACTAGACAGATCATAAAACTAGACTAACACTAAAGTTATAATGAAAAGAGATTTTCAAACATTTCAAACAGTAACATTTAACTGGCATATAACCAAGAGGTTCTTGGTTATATGTTCTTCGCAAGGACACCTGAAAAAGCCTGAGTTAGGCTCATTCAAGCCTGAAACAAAGCTGTGCATGCTAAGACTTTCCTCTGAATCGTTCATTTATGCTTTTCATGGTGCCAGAAACTCTTGGCAAGTCTTTTTGCCAAGCAATTTCCCGTCTTCCCAAAGTACCAAACCACCTTTTTGTCACAGTATTTGCCATAGCATATTCTCCTACAACTCCAGTGTCACTGGCAATCCAGTATAATGCTGTTACACGCCCAGAATATGATAGGGAGTGGCTCCCTTTAAATAAGCTCCACTGTATTTAAGCATTTCAACTCGCCTTTTAGAAGATTTAAAGGGAAAAGTCATACCAGTATGACAGCTTAGTATTAAGGTGATCAGTTTGGATTCCAGATGATTACCTGTTCTAGCTGTTTTTGGACCATACTTTGCTGCTCAGTAACATGTTTAAGCTGTTCTGCATCTTCTTCTGGGAACTCACGACCAGCCTTCTTGGCTGTACGCTGTTTGGCTGAGAGTGCCTTTTTTGATTTTCTGTGTGCTCCAATTTGCTCCTCAAGGTACTTCTGTTGCATTTGAAGAAGCTGTTGTGTTTCTTGCAGCCATTCCTCATATTGCTTTCTTTGTGAATCATCTAGAGAGAAGGGAAATTAATTATGATATGATCTCATCCTGGGGGTGAGTTCTCATCCTACTTTTCAGAGAAGTTGTTTAACAATCAGGTTCCCCCTTTATTTTAAGAAATCATTGGTCAAGTTCAGCCAAATTTGACAGAATTTGACATCTCAAGAGATATTAAGCTCTTGGAGCAATCTGAGTAAAGGAGACAGAGATCCAAATTACTGCATTTATTGAGAGAAAGCAGTTTTAACATAGTCCCTTAATTTCAAGGGACACCAGCCTGCTGTCTGGCCAGTAAATGCACACTTGCTAGCCAGTAAGCAAACGTAACTTTGAAAGCAGCTACAGAACCTGGTGGTACTCTGCTCTGCCACATAAGAGGGGTTATGGAAGACCACTGGAAGTACTCAGGTAGAGGGAGAGATTAGGGAGTAAGGACACAAATTTACAGGAAACATGGCCTCATTAATTCTGGTGTTTGCAGAAGAGTTTTGTACATATAAAATCTATTTTTATTACTACTTCTAAGAAAAAAAATTAAATTATAAACATCTATGAAGTATTCATGAAACAAAAGAAAGATACTGTCTTTGTAAAAATAACTGTGTCAGTCCTCCACACAGGGCCTTCAGCACCAGTGCCTTTTCCTCCCCACAAATAAATGCACTCTCATTTAGACTAATTCAGACACTACTCTTTTTACAAAATGAGAAATGCTCATCTGCTCTCAATGCAGTCCATTGCTCTCAGATGTTTTTCTTCAGGCAAAACAATCATGTCTGATAACACTTGATCTGTGCTAAGCCCAGAAGGCAAGAGAGAAGGTTTGGTGATGGTATCGTTTGTCTCGTGATCACATTGTGGCAATGAGCTGGGTAACCAGGAATAAGGCATGGATGTTCCTTGTAAAGAAAGTTTGTTTAATAAAGATACCTACATGACAGTATGATTTCAATATAACCACGTCCTCCTCGGGCTCCAAGTCCCTACCACCTTCTACTTTTAACAGTCACTGCAGTAGCAACAGCCATCGAGTCTAGCGGCTCAACTAAATCAATTCACAGAGCTCACTACAGTCTCAAGGGGCGCCCATTCTTTCAACGATAAATTCTGCGAAACTAATGACATAACCTGAAGGGACAACTGAGTGGAAACAATGGAGAGTAACTGCAGACAGGAGCAACGTGAAAGTGCAAATGAAAGTACTGAAATATTAACAAGTTCTAGGTAAGAGTAACTACTATTGAAAGGAGAAACAGATTTCCTCAAGTGCTCAGAACCACCACCACCCCATCCAGAGCGAGGCCACCACTGAGTGCCATGTCAAATCTCACCAGAAATTAACATAGATAATATTGCAAAAGCTCCTTATTGCACACTCAGTGCTGCTACTCCAGTTTCTGGAAGAGGTGAAGGTGTTTACTTCATGTGGTCTTCCTCTCCCAACACATGCTCAGTTTTAATTTTTCCTAATAAATCTTTCTCATCATAGAGACTAGGATTTACAATTGATCTAGGGCAACCACAAACAAGGAAAGCAAAATACTAGTGCTATGTGTATCTGCTTTCAACAGTTGTGGTTCCCAGCCAGCCTTGCTTAACTAATGGCTGGAAAGCTTTTATTGGTATTTGTTAAAATTACAATGATGCTGCACAAAAGTTTTTGCTTCTGAAATAACACCCGCCATCACTACAGACTGTTGTTCTCACTGAGTTCAGAATATTATAACACAACCAAAGACCAGGTTTCTGACATAGCAGTCTGTCAGTTAATAGATTACTATTCTCACACAAATCCAAACAATATTAATTTTCTGTTTGTTCTGCCTATCTCTTTCCTTATGGTGTTTCTCTGAGGATAGCTTCTAGAAAAAATGTTAATAGCATTTACTATGCACCCCTTTATTAGTTGGTATCGTAATCATGAAATGACTCAATTTTAAAAAGATGAATTTTTGAGACACAGGATCTATTTATGAATATTTTATTTTAAAGAAAACAGAACTGTAGAATGAAACATCAACATACAATAACTTATTAAATCTGTACTTACTGACAAAACCAGGACCAAAATTGGGAGGATTAGGTCTAGAAATCTGAGGTGTCAAACTTCCGTCCTAGAAATTTCAGTAAAACATACAGACAAGGATATTAAATTGTAATTCAATTAAAAACCCAAAACTAGTTATCATTATTAAATACTTTTGTTTAAACCCCATATCAAGTTGTATTACCTGTGTAATTGCCTGCTGCATATGATTTTGGCCTTCACTGGTCTGAGCCCCTGGCACTGGCTGACCCATAAAGGGAAACCTATTGAATATAAACAGAAAGTGAAGTTATAACTTTTAAAACTGGTGGGTATTTTAGTGGAGACACACCCTTTTGTACTACACCGCACTTACACAAAGCGTCCAAATATTTTATAGACATTTGCTTGAACTTCTGTACCAAACTTTTTCCGTGTCTGGAGAATATTAATTCTCATTTGATGGTACAAAACTTTGCCCTTGGTTGAAACTACTGCATTTTACACTTTTCAGAGAGATGAAGTAAACATGATGTACTGTGCTAAAACAGTGAAGACGCACCAAAAAAAAAAAACAAACCCAAAACAAAACAAACCAAAAAAAAACCCCAACAAAACACAAAACTATAGTTGTATTTTAATATAATAGGATACAAAAAAAAAAAAAAGATTTCATGGATTTAGGTATCATGGTCACCAGCACAGTCAACTAGAGCTGGGTAAATGTACACCTCTGGTAAGCCATGTATTATCACATAACACTGAAGTATGTGTTAGGAAGGAGAAAACACACTGTTTTAAGGGCCACATAAAAACGAAAGGTGCAGATCCTTTCTAGCCTATAGACTCTCCACCTATGGTAAAGGCAGTCATGGTGAAATCTGCACAGTTCATAGATCCTTTTGTCCTCAGAACAGATTTAAAGAGAAGATGAAATTTTCATTACTTGGGCTAAATCTTAATTATACTTAGCATTAAATGATATGCTGCAACATGAAGTTTAACTGTTAGGCAGCCTTCAGCAGTTTTCAAACATGCGTGGGAGATGTGTCATTACATAATTAGTAAGTAGGAAAACAAGAAAGCATCAACAGTGAGGCCATGTTGACCAGTGACATCACAACTGGAATGCAGGTCTGATGTGTCTACTGCCAAACCGGTTTTATTCTTAGGAAGTAATCTTATGTTAGCATGGACTATGAACTACATAACAAAAAGAACTTTTTTCCACTTTTAAATTTTTTCATTCTCCAGTTTCCCCTAGCTCTATCATTTCCTGTTAAATTTTGTAGCCTTAAAGAATGCTTTGCCTACCTGTTCATAACCATTGGTGGCATTCCCATGTTACTCTGCGCCATGACTTTATTGATCCCCTTAAGAGCTACCATTTTTGCTTTCATTATGGGATCAGTAATTGCATCAAAGTCTATAAAAGAAAAACAGTAAAACTGAATTACATAGCTGAATATTACAAGTTATTAACTGGAAATGACTTGTTCATGCATAAATCATCAGTAAAACAACATAATTCCATTACTATTTCACATTACTTGTCCTCTCCACTTTGAAATTCATGGTTAATATGTAGTTTCATATATCCTCTAAGGAAAGTTACTCCAACAGCAACTGTCCTTGTTTTCAGCCACAAGATACAAAGAAAAGCAGGTCAGTCTCAGAAGGGCTCTACACCAAATTTGGCCTATGACCCAACAGATCAATAAATTCTATTTATAGGTTTAAGAATCAGGAAGAAGATCTGTTTCTGTGAGTTCAGCTAGCAAAACTGACACACCACCACTAACATACTAAGAAAATGGTTTAGCTGCTCTGTTATTACCAGTAGCACTATGGGCAGAAGGGCACACGCCCCATACAGCATCTGAAAAGACTATAAGCATGGTGAACTCTGCCTTTTTGCTGTCTCTCCCGTTAGGTGCCTCACATAGAGCAGGATAAATGGGAGTACGGAATGGCTGAGGTTGGAAGGGACCTCTGGAGGTCATCTTAGCCACCTGGGGTGGCTACAGCACGTTGTAGCCACACTACAAATATGGAACTGTGACTTGGGGGGTAGGTTAAATTTGTCTTTTGAACAAACAGCCTTGATGGCCAGTATAGTTACAACACATTTCTCAAAATTTCATATTTCACTAATAACAACTAAATGATAGTGATGGTCTTGATCTGAATGCTCAAACTGCTACGTTATATTAAACAGGAAATGTCAATTTATCTTAAACACTTTTAGTACGTGCAGAGTTATTTGTGATGTTTCTGGACCTTGCCTAGATTGTGAGTTACTAATACAGCTTTTGATGATCCCTTTCCTTGAGACACACTAAACACTGCCAAAAAATGTAACAAAACAACCATAAACAGAGAATTGATAGACCAAATATCAAAACATCAGCTATTGCACTTGATCACGTAATTTTGTTTACAAAGGGTGCATTTACTCCATATCACATCTGAGAACCTAAAGCATAAAGAGAATATGCGACAGAACTGATGTCAGAAACATTAGCAGTAATGCACAGTTACCCTGATCCTGGTAATGTCAACAGGAGCCCTCCCAGAGAGTTCAGAATTCCACCTACATGCTCAACTTCCATACCCCCATCGTACCTACTAGGCAGGTTGGGTTTTGTCATGCCACCTTTAAGCTCCACATATCTACCAGCTTCTTTCGGTGCTATGGATTATTTAACTATTTATTGTTGTATTTTTAAAAAACTAACCGGAACACAAATAGATCACCCACATACCAATATTGGGGAAAAATGGCTCCGAACGTTGGCGAATCATGGCTTGCATCTGTCGCTGCTGCTGCTGCTCTTGTCTTTCCTGATCCAAAAGGTCCTGCAGAAGAAGTGGCTGTTCCTCTAGCAGAAGTGGTCTTTCTCGATTTTGTTGTTGAGCTAATGGTTGAGGGAGCATTATCTGTTGGGGACCAGATATGCCGCTAGGACCAGGACGGCTTGTTACAGCCACCGTTTGATTAGATGTCTGTCCTGTCCCAAAGTTATGACTAGATGACTGACCCTGAATAAATCCTGGATTTGGTGACCCTTGAGAAAAATTATGGTTCATTCGTGGAACCATGGCCAAATTTGAATTTAAAGTGTTTTCCAAGATCTGTCCACCAGGTGTCATTAGTGTTTGCGGAATACCTGATGCATGGTTCATTTGCGTTGTTGGCAAAGACTGAGATGGAGATCCTAGAGTCCTTGCTTCAGCATTATCTGAGCTTTCACTAGCTAGCAAACTTGAGAGGACTGGTGTGGACCCAGAAATACTGCAGGAACTTACTGCTCCTTGAACAGGCAGTGGAGTAGATCCCTGAGCATCTGGACTAGGCACAGTTGTTTCTTGACTAGGAACAGCAGTAGTTTTGTCAGGGAATTCTGGATTAGTGGGCTGTGCAGGAGGAGCCTTTTCTCCATCTGTTAACTCCACTTCAGCAGCCTGTTGAGTACTTGTGGATTCAGCATTTCCATCACTTTTTTCATTTTCATTCTTCTTTTCCTCCTGAGTATTTGGGGAAAGTACTTCTGTTTTGATTTCATTTTCTGTAGAAGATTTCTTCTGTGGAGACTGGGTCTCAGGAGGGGAAACAGTCCTATCACCTTGTTCTTTCTGTTTTGGTTCTTCTGTCTTGCCCTGGATATCTAGTTTGTCATCAATGGGGACACTAAGATCTAGTTCCTCATTAAACATTCCTTTCTTATCCCCCACATCAAGGTCTGGGTCTGTATATGCAATTATATCAAATTCCCCAGACCTCAGAAGATCATCCAGGTGAGGATCATTGGTTTCCAAATTATCTAAAGTGTCCAGTTCATCACCTTTCCCATCTTCTGTGTCCAGATTCAAATTTTCCAGATCCTCATCATCTAAATCCTTGACTTCAACCCCATCAAGGTCTTTCACATCCAAATCTTTTACAGCAGGATCATCAGGATCAAGCTTTTCTTCTAGACCATCACTTGGCTGGTTGGGAATCTGTAAATTTGCAGATTCATCACTTGGTGCAGATGCAGACAAAGATGGTCCTGGGAATGCATCAGCAACTGGTGGATGACTTAGAGAACGTATTACAAGTGCAGGTGGGTTGTCAGGATTGATTTGATCCTGCTGGGATTGTGACATATGCTCCAAAGTTGTAGTAGACATCTGCAGCTGGTTAGGTATACCTTGAGAATTATGTCTCAGTGGTTCTGCCTGTCTTGGGCCTGGAAACTCCTGCCTGGGTATAAACCCTGCATGTCGTTGATGTTGCGCTGCTGCATCCATAACATTTGCAGCAGAAGGATTAAAAGGCAGCCTTGGCCTCCCATCAGGAGCTCTGTGACGTAACTCAATAAATGCCTGACCCAATATATTGTGCTGCTGAACTGGAATTCCCTGTGGAGGAAAATGTTGAGAGATCCCAGATGTATTATTTATTTGCGGATTGTTCACTGGCCGAGGCATATCAATGGACAGAGATCTTCTCAGCTGTGGTGGAACTCCAGGGCGCTGCATTGGCTGCTGAGGACCAAGGAAACGTTCTTGACCTGATGGTGGACCATGGCCACCTCCTGGAAACCCGTATCTAAAATAAAGTATGAAAGGCTAAATAATCTTTTTTCTCAGGACTGCCTAGTCTGACATATTTGACTAAATAACTATTCACCAAAATGCTTTACATGATGCATTCATTAAGATATTTAAATAAATATTTTGACTAATTATGCTTACATTTAAATGAGCTCTATAACTACAATAAAAATAATTGCTTTAATTATGTTTAATAAACAACCTGCTTTCAATTCCAATAATAAGAATGGATAGAAAACTCTGACAGAACTATCTTAGTAAACAAACTACATGTTAATGCAACTCAGCGTAAAAAATAATATTGTGTGGATTTAGAAATTACTGAAATAAATCCAAAATATTGAAAATAATAATTCCTGAGATGACAATGTATGTTAATACTGGTATTCATTTTATATTGTAGCACTCACTGTAAAAATGGCACAGACAGAAGTTGACATTTGATTACATATTCATTATAAATGAAAACAAGCGTATTATATTTCTTCATTATTAAGACATCAAAGCTAAAGTCAGACCTTTCACTTTTTTTTAAAAGAAAAGAAACGCCCCAAAGCCATGGGTGACAAGATCTTTCAGGTCACGTAACTTCCACAAGTATTGCAGTGTCTCCATTTTTATTTCTGATTAATTCCCAATAAAGGACAGTGTAAAACAGTTAGTGTAAAATACACATTCTAATGTTTCAGACGCTTACAGGAAAACTCACTGTACATACTGACTTCAGGAAGATTACCAGCTACTGTAGACAATGCACATGATTTTCCATCAAAAAAACCCCTTAATCTAACAATTTCTGTAAATTTAGAACTACCCCTGTAATCTCCTGGTTTTAAGAGATCAAAGAGCTTACCTAAGACCATGAGGTCTCATCCCCATGGCATTCATATCGCCTGGAAACTGGGGTCTACTGAACTGCCCAT